ATAATCCATCTTTCCCACAGAGGCACAGATGGGTACTTTGAACCCTACTCTATCCTCACAGTGCTTGCTGACATCAGAGCAGTGGCTCTTACCCATTCATTCATCCATGGAATCATCCATTCCCTCAAGACATATTTGATTCCTGCTCAAAGCCAGACATAGGGGAGACAGAACTGAGCAAGAACTGTCCATGGTGAGCAAAACAGTCAAATGAGGAAATGGTCAACTGAATGACAAGGTAACTTGACAAAAGGAGAAGCATGCTATTTTAAAACTAAAGGATTTGTTACCAAAAATATGCTAGGCTATCTAAAACTCCTCCTACCTCAAAACACCCAGGAATGCAAGGTAAAATATAACAAATATCCATTCATAGGTATAGCTGAGCTCTCAGGACAGTAAAAGATATCTTGGAGGTTGGGGATGGGGCATGAACTAAACCTCTGAGAGGTCAATTTGAACTGACCCTGAGAATGCATGTGTTGGTGGTAGTGACCTAACCTACCTAGGTGTTGAGCTTTAATAGCCATGTGTCTCCAGGAGATGAGGTCTTAGGCCTAGAATTCCCTATTCCCGTACAAAGTCAGACTCTTAGAGTCACACCATTAGTAAAAGGTGGGCTAACATAACACCAACACAAGCAGACAGGAGGTCTTTCTCTTCTCAAGGGGGAGAAGGCATCTCCCCAGAAAATTTATAACCACAGATGTATCCTCACATTTATTAGGGCTTTGAGTTTACACTGCTTGCATAGTTCAGAAGCTCCCCACGCTGAGAGTTAACACAAAAAGTGTGCCCAGGTTAACAGTGATTGTGGAGCAGCCAGAAGAAGCAAACACAGACCCTGAAGGACATGCCCATAAGCCAGGCCACACATTTCTCACTGATGAAACTTTCAAAATAATAACATATATACAAAGAATTAGTCAACTTTGAGTGAAAATCCTTAGACAAAATAAAGAATGTCAGAGAGCAGGATTATCAGATAGATGCTAGAAGAATGGTTAAAATCATTAAAGACAACAATGGAATATTATTCAGCCATAAGAAGAAAACAAATCCTACCATTTGCAACCACATGGATGGAGCTGGAGGGTATTATGCTCAGTGAAATAAGCCAGGTGGAGAAAGACAAGTACCAAACGATTTCACTCATCTGTGGAGTATAAGAACAAAAAGAAAAAAACTGAAGGAACAAAACAGCAGCAGATTCACAGAACCCAAGAATGAACTAACAGTTACCAAAGGGAAAGGGATTGGGGAGGATGGGTGGGAAGGGACGGATATGGGGGGAAAAGGGTCATTATGATTAGCACATATGATGTAGTGAGGAGGACACAGGGAAGGCAGTTTAACACAGAGAAGACAAGTAGTGATTCTATAGCATCTTACTATGCAGATGGACAGTGACTGTAGTGGGGTATGCAGTGGGGACTTAATAATGGGGGGAGTCTAGTAACCATAATGTTCATGTAATTGTACATTAATGATAGCAAAAATAATAATAATAATAATAAAGAAATCACTGTAAAAAATCATTAAAGACAGAAGACATTGAACAATGAGAATATGTGTTTTTTAAAAAGATGAAGTAGATTCATTTAAAATGAAAAATACAGTAACTGAAATTAATAGTATAACAGCAGATTAAACAGAGAGGGGAGAAATTTGGGAGTGAAATAGAGTATAAATCTTTAAAAAACTAACAAGAATGAAGCACAAGGGTCTAAAAAATGCAAAACATAACCGAGTGGTTAAGAAAGGTAGAAAAAAACATTCTAACAAATGTCAAAAAGGAATTTTGCAAGGTGAAAATATAATGGGAAAGAGGCAATATTAAAAGATATAATAGCAGAGAATTTTCTAGGCTTGTATGGAGACCTCAGATTAGATTAGGTATCATGAATTCCAAGAAAGTAAATAAAGATAAATCCACACCTAGGCACATTGCAGTGACGCTTCATAGCACCACAGACAAAGGGACGATCTTAAAAGCAGCGAGATAGAAAGGACAAACATACAAAGCAATAATAATTAGGCTTACAGCAGACTTTTCAACAGAAGCAAATGGAAAACCAGAGACAATGGAATAAAATATTAAAAGTGTGAAAGACAATAGTATAATTTAGAATTTTCTATTCAGCTCAACTATCTTTCAGGAGTGGGAGAAAAATAAGGTATTTTCATATAACTGAAAGCATTTGCTTCTAACGTATCCTTACTGAAAAAACTTTTAAAAGATGTACTGCAGAAAGAACACTGAAGCCAGAAGGAAGAAGAACAAGGCAAGAGAAAAAATAGTGAGCAAAGATACTAGTGAGTGCGCTGATAAATGTAATGGCACACATTATGTAAGGTAGAAAAAAATGAGTCGGGGAGGTCTTAAAAATAAGATATAACTAAAAAGAGCAATTACACCGAAGATAGAAGGGGAATTATGTGATTAAATACAGTAAAGTCTTTCTATTGTTTGGAAGGAGGGTGGAAATAGTAATTAATATTAGACTATATTAAACCAAATGTGTGTATAAAAATCTAAACAATAGTCCCCAAAAGCATAGAAAATGGAGGCATACATTTCAGATCAGTAGAAAGAAAAAGGTGTATAAAGAAAAATTAATCAATCAAATAGAAGGAAAGAAGGGGAAAAAGGCATAGAAAAAAATCAGGATCAATAGACAGCATAAAATAAGATGGTAAAAGTGAATAAAAATATATTACTAATCGTGATATAAATGCAAATGGACTATGTGTCAATTAACATAGAGATTGTCCTATTGGATTAAACAAGAGAATCTAGCCACATGCTCTTATAAAACAGAGCATGTTTTACATATACTGAAAGATTGAAAGTAAAAGGATGGGAAAAGATACATCAAACAAATGCTAGCCAAAATAAAGTTTGTATAGCTATACCAATATCAAATAAAAGCAATGTAGATTAAAAGTATTATTGGGGTAAAGAGTGCTGCTTCATAATAACATGCACACTTTCCAGGAAAAACCCACTCTAAACTTGTATACCCAGCGTCAAAATATATAAAGCAAAAATTGCCGAAATACACGGAGAAGTTGACTAATGTACAGTATTAATAGATTTTAATAAATATTTCTGAGTTCCTGATATATCAAAAAGGCAGAAAAATGATTAGACATAGAAGACATAAATAACACAATCAATAAGCTTGCTTTAATAGATCTAACTAGATACCTCCAACCAATATTAGACTGTACATGCTCTTTTGAAGCAAACATGGAATATTTTCAAACCTAGATTGCATACTTGGCCACAAAGTCTCAGAAAACCCTAAAAAGAAAAAAAAAAGCAACATCATATATACTATATTCTATTAGTACAAGGCAAAACTCAATAACAAAATAAGAACTTTAATAAAAAAGACCCACAGGCACACACACACACACACACAACACACATGCTCGCATGGGCACCCATACAACCACACCATTACAACCACCTGAGACCTGAGTCAAGGAAAAGAGAGCACCAGGGACCTCCTGGAACACTGGTAATATTGCATTTTGCAAACATTTGCTTCTTGAACCTGTGGACTGAAGTTTCAGTTACTCGTCAACTGAGGTATGGAAGCATATGATCCTCCTTCTGACCTACCATCTGAAGGTCTAATGCTACATCACCATGCCTACGTCATTTGCCTTGCTTCATCTTATCACATAGGCATTTTATCATCTCCCATCATCACAAGAAGGACATAAGCTGTAGTATCAAAACTGCAAGTATTCAGAGACCACTGCAGAACAGAATACAGTCCTTACATGACAGACCCTAGAAAGTGACTGGGCAAACTTCTTCAGGCTGTGGATGGAGACTGTCCTTACAAATGGGAACTTAGACCTCTGCCATCAGATGGGCCATCTGTGACGACAAGCATGGAGACCCCATACTGCTGGAGCCAGAAGACAGGTAACTAAAACTTCTGGGATAATCCCTGTTACCTCACCCTGACCAGTCTGATGAGCGTACACAAGCGGATCACTCACCCTGTGACCCATACTCATCATTTAGCTCTTAAAAGCCCTGGCTTGTAACCCAACAGGGAGTTTGGGATTTTGTGCATTACCTGCCTGATATCCTAGCTTGGTGCCTGGCAATAAACCTGCCTATTTTCCTTCATTACAAAAAAAAAGAAGACCCATACATTTTGAAACTAAAAAGTACTTTTAAATAACCTCATGGATAGAAAAAGAAATAATAAAAACTCGAAAATATTTTTAAATTGCAGCCATTTTCCCATGGAGCAGACAGCACAATTTATCTTTTGAGGAAGCTAGCCAATTTGTTTGGGAAAACTGTAGCTTGCTAGTTCACCAAAAACCAGTTCAAGGAATAACCAGATAATCAAAAGCCAAATTTGATGCAAATTAAACCCCTGAATACCAATTTGCTGAAAAACCAATTTGGATTATTGAAATTACTGATATTGAATTTAAAAAAAACTTCCATCCACACTCCTATCTTTGTCCCTGTCCAGAACTGCCAAATAGACACTTAAAACCAAATTTAGGACAATTTCCCACACTCATTTTGCATTGCAGATATAGAGGCAGAGGTGGGTGCAGAAATGGGGTCAGAGGTACTACTGAAACTTTGGGGATAGGAAGGAGGTTTTTCAATCAACTGGAGAATTGACCATTTAAAAAATTGGTTTTTGACAAACTGGATGTTCATTAATTGATCTTAGCAAGTGTTGATCCAAAGTCTATGAAAGGGGCCCAAGTCCGGTCAGGTTGCAGTGGCTGAATTAAAGAGGTGCCAAGATTCTACATGCTAAAATAAAGGTCTCTTTCTTGGGTGGAGATACAGATTTTTTTTTTCAAGATAAAGGATTAGGTTTAGGATAAAGTTTAAGGATTTTGAGGAGGGTGGGGTGTGGGGAGGCGGCGAGAGAAGGGATGTTACTGGGAGGAAGCAGACACAGCAAGACGGGAGGCCAGGCCCAAAGCACAGGCAAGGGACTTACCTCCTGGTGCTTTCGCCGTTACAGATCCTGAAATCAGATGTTGAAATTCAAGTTCTCCGTGTCCTGAAGCTCTTGTGAAATCTTCAAATTCTGATGGGGGTCCTGTGTTGGCGAGTCTTTAGGTGTGAGGAGAGGCTCTTCCCCGGGTATGGGGCTGAGAGTGGTCTCCCTTCGTGCTTTCCCTGGAGGCCAGGCCAAGGTCAGTATTGTGTCCTGGAGTTCTGAGAGGTGGGCAGTGGCAAGGCCAGTGGAGACCCCCGGCAGGCCAGAGCTGCTGCAGGGATCGACGCCGGGGCTGCTGGGGGAGGAATTCTTCCGCTTAATATTCCAGAGGAAGAGAACCTCTGGGGAGGGGCACTGGGAAGACGGCTCTGTGGGCAGCTCACACCTCCTCTGCGCTGGACTCCTGCTTCTGTCTGGCAGAGCAACTTCACACCCCACATGCCCAACTTCCCTGAGCTGTTCTAACAGGGGTGCTCCTCCCGACGGGTGATGGGCTTATTGTGCTTAGTCGGGGTCCTCGACCCCCGAGTTCACCACCTTCCTTCCTTCGCCTTGCTGCCGCGGCCCCACCAGGAGGAGGGCGGGCCATGCTTCATTCATTTCTCGCACACTTATTTGAGGGCCCGCTACCCCCAGGAACTTCTGGGGTTACCACAAGGAACCAACAGACCATCAGACAGTCACACAAGTATGTCAATGCTATGGTGAGGGAGGGAGCGGGTGACAGACCTGAGGAAGTGGGGGTCTGGCAGCCACTCCCGCCCACCCAAGCCGGCGTCCGGCACCGGTCGCGCCTACAGCCGCCTCCTCACTCCGCGGCATCCGCCCCTCCGACGCTCCCCGGCGTCCTCAGTAGCGGTCGGTTTATGGGATGCGCCCTCTGGGGGAGGCGGGTCCGTTTCCTCAGAGCATCCCCACCGGGCACGGAAGATGCGCTCGGGTAATGCTGGATGCA